GCAGCGTTAGAGAAAGAGCAAAGCCCCTTTATACCTTCTGTTCCTTTACAGTATTACTGGTTGTTTTCAAAAAATCTTGAGCACAAAATGTATTAAGAAACTCTAAAAAGGTTGACAGAGAGAAAAGTACGACAGTTTTCCTGAGGATCCTCTGCTTGCCGAGGCAGACGAATGGACATCATAGAAAAAGATCTGCTAATGCAGCGATACGGTCGGTTAGACTAAATCTGCGTTCATCCTCCAGTTAGCCACAGCTAATGGCTTTCAGTCTGGTTCTGAAGAGGAAAAAGCTATTTTTCTCCACTGTCACTGTGTGCTTGCCAGCATGGGGGTGTGGTGTGGACGAGCAGAGATGCAGCGCAGGCATGAGGGTCTTTTTACGAATTAGTCGGCTGTTCTAACCTGGATTTTTGTAAGAACATGGGATGTAGATGCTGAAAAGAAAACTACTGATTAGTGCGGAATGTCTCTGCTTCCAAATCGGGCCCATCCTTATGAGGAGGGCCTGGGACGGCTTTTGTTGTTGCGTCTTTGCTTTGGAATAAAGCTAAATTTGGTACGGCATGAATTAAGTTATTTAAAAAACAGTACCAACTTCAGTTAGGGCTTCCCGTTTAATAGTTTAGAGATATTTTATTAAGTAATCTTAAAATAGGAATTAATAATAAGTGCTTATTATGCATTAATCAAAGGTGAGCAACACACAAAACTGATCAGTTTCTTTCTAAAAAGTGAATGTAATCTGTTCAACGACACATTTCATCGAGTGCTGCTTATATGAAAACATGTCCAAATAAAGTACTGCCTCGGAAGCATCATAAGCATTTGCAAGCATGTTCTTTGTGTCCATGAAGTTTTCAAAGCATAATAAAAACTTCTGATTGTGTTACAACTTCATAACACATCTATTAAGTACTTATTGGCCATCTTTGAGAGGAGCCCCATTGTAACGTGGTACCAAAAGGGTGCTGAAGGTGTGGGCTCCTATTGTAAACGCCAGAACTGACTAAATGGTTTGCAGGTCAAACATTGCACGGTTCTTGATGTCCGAGCCCCTTGTGAAAAGTGAACCCGACCGCTATTGTTGGCCTTTCACTATTGGTTATGGAGGCCAACAATGATGATCTTTTGACCGTTATTTCCATCGCCTTTGGCCGCCTCCTGTCGGACGTCATCATCGTCTTCATCATTCTCTTCATGTCCCTTCATGACTCCCCCGGCGGTGCCACCACCCGCCTCGTCCTCCCGGTTCTCCAGTGGGTTTATCAGACCGTAGAGGAAAGTGAAGAAACTGTTTAACCAATCAGAGCCACCTTCATCCACTTCTTCTAACCAATCCAGGGCTTCCCCCTGACTGTGGCCCACAGTGGTCAGGCCTACGCAAACAAACGGGTGTGAGGGGGAGGCAGAGGGGAAGTTCAGGAGCCAAAGGTGTGGAGGTGAAAACAAAGGGTAGTAAAAACAAACATGAGGTGAAAAAAGAAATGTTGATCATATGATTGAAAAATATGTGCGGGAGGGAGGGGGGAGAGAAGGAGGGAGAAACAAGAAGGTAAGAAAGTTTAAAGTGTAGGTTAGGCAGCGAGGGAACTATTCACACCACTATGCAGACCATCTGCATGTGATCCACTAGAAATACGTTTTATATCATTATCTAAAACAATAAGTAGATAGAGCTTAGGGCCGGCATACACTCAACGATTGATGGCCTGATTTGGGCAGATTTTTCAGCTGTGCTCATGTAGTTTGGATCAGACCTCATCGTTCACTGTGCGTTAGAGTATGCAGGGGGAACGAGGGAGGATCAGCCTCTCACATCACCTCCTGATCGGGAATCATTTGGCTGAATAGAAATCAGACAGGTTTGAAATTCAGTCGGCCCTTGTGAGACGATTGTGAGCATATCCTGTTGTTGAAGCAGAGTTATACCCGATTTAACTAAACTTTGCTCCCAGTGTGTGTGAAAACAATCTGACTTTACTTATGGATAGACTAATCCAGCAGAGCTGTCTCCAGTCCGCCGTGGTCTTTGGTCTTTTAGCAGATACCGTGAGTGATTAACTTCTAAACCCAGCAGTTCATCGTTATGGTTGAGCTTTAGCTGAGAGGAAAGTTTGAAACATCATAAGTGTATGCCAGCCCTGAGGTGTGGTAATTAGAAATAAAACCTTAAAATATAGAAAAACAAACAAATGACCATTTTGTGGATCACAATGTGCAGACAGCCATGAAAAAACAGAGGAACCCTAAGGTCACAGGGAAACATGAAGCCATAGAGGATGTAGAGCAACTTTTAGAGTTATTTTAGAGTTTATTTTAGCTACACTGATATTTTACCTGAAAAGTGCCATTTAGATTAAACAAAACTCCTTTTCAAGGAATTCCAGGTCAAGAGGGGGAGTGTTAGCTTAGAGCAGTGCGCTTGTGCTCTAAGAAGGTTGCAAGTATCCGATTCGATCCTCAAAGCCTCCACTCTGGGTTCCTGAGCAAGACCCTTAACCCCCCATTTCTCCCCGGGCGCCGCACTCTGGCAGCCCACTGCTCACCAAGAGAATGAGTTAAATGCAGAGAGTAAATTTCTCCAATGCGAAATCAATAAAGTTCAATTATTATTATGAAAACGATAAAAAAAAAAAAACTCAAAACACTAACCAAATTAAAATTAACGCGGACTATTTAAAAATCTCCAGTTCTGAGTTTGGGCTTGAAAAATGTTCAAAGAAATTATCTCCTTTTTGGCAACTTGCTCAGAGTAGACAAAGCTCAGTGAAGTAAAATCATTTTGAAAGGTTCTGTTCAAGGATAAAAGAGAAAAACATGTTCATATGCTTCATTAAAAAAAACAATCAAAACAAAAAAAAACAAAAACAAAACAAAAAACCTGCAGAGCACATACAAACAAATATTTTAGAAGGACAACCAACCCCAAAAGCCTCTTTTGTGCCTGTAAACCATATCCATGGTTTCTCCTCTCATTATCTACATGTCCTCAGCATTATTGCATTCCTGGGTTTGTGTCTAAAACCTCTGTTTGGCGCCCTCTACTGGTGTACCTGGTGCGTTGCATTTGATTTTGGATCAACTGCAGTGCACCAGGTTTAACAGATATTCATGACATCACCTTGGGAAGCTCTGAAACTCTGGTGGCCTCTGGAAGGAGCAGCTCCAACCAGGGCAGCTCGAGCCGCCAGCCATCGTTCTACCGTGTCTGATGAGCGCAGTGGGAAAAAACCCTCGACCTCATATCACTAAACTATCATTACTATAAATGCTCTCCATGTTTTGGTTTGGGGTCAATCCATCTGCCAATCACAGCAAAGACCACACCCAGTTCAGAGGATAGATGTAGGCAGAGTAGGGCCTCGGTTAGTTGGGCCTTAAAACAGTTGCTTCAGGGAAATGTTACTTTTCATGTTAAAGCGTGTGGAGGTTATGGGGTTCAGTTGAAGTTGGCTAGTTTTTTTTTTCTCCACAAATGTGCCCTCTCATGTATAGAACGTTGCCAACATTGGCCAGACTTGCTATCATCACTACCGTCTCCTTTCTCCTGCAGGCAGTCTGTGTCAGAAATCAGGAAAGATGGTAAATGGACCCTGGCTAACTGCTAATGATGCTAAAGTTACAGCCACATTAACAAGCGTACACGCAGGTCAGAATCATCTACATACCTTCACTAGTAAAAAAAAGGGTCCTGAGCTACACTTCTTTTCTCCTAAAAATGAATAAATGTGAATGTAAGGGTCATTTCAGAAAGATTGTAAATGTAAAATACCAGACTATCGCTCATTTATTATATGTAATTATGTATTATCTAATCTGAGTCTAACTCATTCACAGAAGCTACGGTGCATTCCTCTTTAAAAAATACCTAAAACAAAAAAAAAACAAAAAAAAAAAAAAAAAAAAAAAAAAAAAAAAAAAAAAAGAAAAGAAAAGAAAAGAAAAGAAAAGAAAAATGTCTCTTCAAGATTAAAGCTGTTTTGTTGCTGTTTTTTTTTAGCACTTTCCAGCTCAGTTAGCGCTCATGCTTATGGGAAAGGCTGTGATGCTCTAGGTCACATGACCCCTTCAGTAACAGATAAGATGCTCTCCAGCTGCATAGATGAGGGTGTAACACACACGTGTATATATATATATGGAGTACCAACTCTGCCATATTTCAAAATAAGTACAGAAATACATAAATGCATAATAAGTAAATAAGCATAAAATTAAGTGCCCCCAAAAATACAATATACAAATATATATACATATATATATCTTTTAATTTGTTTCTTCATTTATTCGCCTTTGCAATAATTACCTTCTTTATTTATTGTCCCTTATAATCTTCAACTTAATTTATTTAATATTTATATTTTTAAGTATTTATTTATGTGCATGTGATAATATTTTTTCTGTTTTATTCTCCTTTGCATTTTTTTACCCTATTTATTTCTTCAATGCCATTTATTTCTGCCATTTTTACATTTCTGTATGCATTTCTGCCTAATATGCAAATGAGGAGGGGCTGCGTCTTAGAGGGTTAACTTCTGTTGACAGACAGACAGACAGACAGACAGCAGACAGACAGCAGACAGACTTAAACAAGTAGGAGTTTGAATGAGGACCTTCTGACTGGAGATTTCTGTTATTCATTATGTTTTATAATATCAGACAGAAGTCGGTTTAACAGTTTAAATCCTGCTGTAGAGCAAACACCTGATGTTAAAACCTTAAAATGGTTTAAGGGTTGAATAAACAAATTTTAACCAAACCTTTTCTGATGTAAAGATTCATAGAAAACTTATATTCCTCCTTTATGTAATCACCAAGTAGTGTGTTTTTTTTTTTTTGAGTGAACTAACCAAAATAATCAAATATTATTTGAGCAGCTAATCCAAACGAGGTCCAGCCATCCATGCACAAATCAAACCAATTTCCTAAACTAAACATTTGTTTCTGTCCTAAAAAGGGAAAATGGACACTATCCTGTTGATGAATGAGATAAATCCACTTGCCTAAAAGTACTTTAGCGTCCTCGACATCGAAGTCTCCATCTCCATCCGTGTCATATGCAGCCAGTTTACCTACAGAAACCACAAACACGCACAACATGATTGTTCTCACAGGGGTTTGCTGAGATACATCATCTCATTATTTATTGGCACAATCAAAACCTTAATTAGTTCAGAGGCTAAAAACTATTTTATGATTTGTTCTGTATTCAGGTTTTTAAGCGCGGCTCAGTGCAGCTTGACATCAGTTCTTACTACGTGTGGAACAGTGGTCTACATCCTGCTGAAAAGATTGCCCCTGGGGGGGCAAATGGATAAAGCACTAGATTTATACCATAATACATGGATCTGAGGAGAAAACAAAGCTAACATCTTCTTAAAATGATAAAGAAAATGATTGATCATATTTTTATAAAAAGCTACTGATGCTTTTCAATTTACTGCATGTTTCAAAGTGTGACACTGGATTATCATTTCAGATGCATAGATCTGTGCATCTGAGTGTTTTGCAGTGAGAAAATACAATCTGGTGAATTTCAACCTAAGATCTTATACTGAAGCTCCTAAAAGCGTTGATGCTGCTGAACACAAAAAAACATTTAATGGTTTGGAAAACAAAAACATTTTCTATGTGTTTAAATATGAGTTAATTCAATTAAATTCAGTTTATCTTTATAGTGCCAATTCACAACACATGTCATCTCTATGCACTTTACAGATACAGTTCATCAGATCATTCAGTCATATTGATTCAAAGTTTTCTATCTAAAGAAAACCAGCTAATTGCATCGACTCATTGACTCAAATACAATCTCTCACACTAAGCATGCTTATAGCGACAGTGGAGAGGAAAAACTCCCTTTTAACAGGAAGAAACCTCCAGCAGAACCAGGTTTAGTGTGAGCGGCCATCTGCTGAGGCCGACTGGGGTTCAAAGAGATCGTTTTAATCTCCTTGAATATATTGTTTTAATTGCTTTCTAAATAAGAAGAAAATTTTTTTCAGGCTTGTTGTTTGGCAGTTTAAGGTTCACCTCATAATGCGCAAGACATTTTAGCGGGGATAGGTGTGCAGGCTGGCCAGTTCAGCAAGCATGCTGCTTTTAAACATGCAGAATGCAATTTGGCTCGTTCAACATGTTTAAGCAACACTAAGACATCTAGAACAGACCTTTGCAGAAAGTGACTGATTACTGCATTTAACATCACAAAAAAAATGAGACAGTGACAGTCATCTTGTTTTGATTTTTTACCTTGCAAGCTTTCAGACAGGTTAATCTGTATGCCCCTAGCCTTGTCTGCATGCAAAACAAGAAATTTGAAGAAAAAAAATAGCAAGATTAGCAAACAGAACAGAGGAAAATCATACAGCCGACATTTATCAAAGATCCATATACAGACAAGAAAGCATTGTTTGTGTTTTACGTGCAGATTGAATCAGATGATATAATACATGCATGTAAAACAAAAAAAGAATAAACAGTTTGTAAAAAACATTTTCTTCCTTTGACCTTTGACCTCCCAGGATCCACCTATAAAATGCGTAAATTAGGGATGCACGATATTATCAACAGCTAACCACACTGTTAGCTTCAAAACTATCTTATATCTCACTGAAATAACTCAGAAATATAAAAGCTGCTGCATCACACCTGCGACAAGCTCACTGCAACACACTGCTGCAGGAGTATAACCAGACCTAGATGCTTACTGTCCAAAGGCTTCAACTTTAAGTAGGTCAAAGGAAAATAAAGATTTTGGTATCAGTTATCGGCCAGTTTAAATATAAATTACAACACATCGGCCAGAAAATCAAACACCATGCATCCNGGCTGGCCAGTTCAGCAAGCATGCTGCTTTTAAACATGCAGAATGCAATTTGGCTCGTTCAACATGTTTAAGCAACACTAAGACATCTAGAACAGACCTTTGCAGAAAGTGACTGATTACTGCATTTAACATCACAAAAAAAATGAGACAGTGACAGTCATCTTGTTTTGATTTTTTACCTTGCAAGCTTTCAGACAGGTTAATCTGTATGCCCCTAGCCTTGTCTGCATGCAAAACAAGAAATTTGAAAAAAAAAATAGCAAGATTAGCAAACAGAACAGAGGAAAATCATACAGCCGACATTTATCAAAGATCCATATACAGACAAGAAAGCATTGTTTGTGTTTTACGTGCAGATTGAATCAGATGATATAATACATGCATGTAAAACAAAAAAAGAATAAACAGTTTGTAAAAAAAAATTTCTTCCTTTGACCTCCCAGGATCCACCTATAAAATGCGTAAATGCAGGGATGTACGATATTATCAACAGCTAACCACACTGTTAGCTTCAAAACTATCTTATATCTCACTGAAATAACTCAGAAATAGAAAAGCTGCTGCTTATTTCTATAAGCCTGCAGAGGTTATGATGTAAAGCGCTCCTGCCTGATCCAAGCGTCTTCCTTGAAGAGATGCTGATGTGAAAACGTTGGCGCTGCGGATGTTTTCTAAAGGGCCAGAAAGAGCTGAACTGCTGTTTGCAATGACTGCACAGCATCAGTGAGTTAAGAAGGAGCAAAAGGGAAAATTTCAAATCAACCATCTCAGGAAGCAGCATTCCAGCTGTTTCAATAAACTATGGTGGCCTGGAGGAACACAGCAAATCTGTCTCTGTTCACCAGCAGACTCTTCTTCCAGCCTGTACAGCTGGGACTACCTGAGGGGAAAAGTCTTTACTCAACTGAGGAAGAGACAACCAGCCATTTTCATTCAAACTATTGGATTATCTCGTTTTTTTGAACGATGTTAGGTCTTACTACCTAGCCTGTGATATTATTTAAATGTCCAGAACTGAGTTTCACCAAAGGTAATTTAGATGTTTGCATATTAAAGGCTGATTTATCCTCAGAAACCAGGTCATCTGCATGTGTGTCGCAGTGAATGCAAATATGCCCCGCCCCTTCTGCAGACACTCTGCTGCATCTCTCCAAAATCGTAGGTGGCCGCAGACAGGAGGCCTCTGATTGGTCAATTCTACATCCTCTCTACACTATGCGCATTTCCTGTTTGGTACCTTAGCGGCTTGTTTTTTTTGTATGACCGCCATTGTAGAAAACGACTCATAAAGATGAACCAGCTAGAAGAACGAGGTGCGTGAGAACGCTGAGACCCTTTTTCCACCTGGATCCCCGCTCTTTTTTGCCCCTTATGTCCCTCCGTTGTCGGACAAACTTGCCCCTTGCGTTTTTCACTTCCTCAGCACCTCGGACGTATCTAGATCCACAGCTAGTTCGTGATTGTCCCTCTTGAGTGTGGCGTGGAATAACATGTATTCAATATTGGGCATAAATCATATAATTACAATATCTGCCTCATACCTGCAGCAGGAGTATAACCAGCCCTAGATGCTTACCCCTTGCTCACACTGGCTCCGGTGCGATTACCGAGCCGACGGAGACCGCAACTCCCGCACACCCCCTCTCACACCGCCCTTTTGACTACGGTGCGGTGCGGCTCTGCGGCTCCGGCAACAGGTCCGGAGATTTAACAGAAGTTCACTTGAGTTCAC